TTCAGGCTGGTTTCTAATCTGTCTGGGAACAGGCTGCCCCACAAGGGGAGAGGGCCCACCCAGTGTTTCTACACAGGGACAGGTTGACCCAGATGGGGCTTCAGCGGTAGCCCATACAAAGCACAAAAACAACATCTTTCTGCTATGTTGTTACTTTAAGCTGGTTTACAGTTCATGGACACATATGCCACAGTAATTATTCCAAGTTACTTTTGGCAGCACTTTCCACATCACTTTGGCCAGGGTCTCCCCACAAGACCCTGTGGGGAGGGACAAACAAAGAAAAAACAGCTGCTTAAAGTTTTGTTTGTATTGTGAAACCAAAAAATTTGATACAACATGCACTTTGGGAGAATGGCCCCCAGCCTACTTTGCATACTTGAACTAGCCATGGCCTTATGGTGTTGAAGACAGGATGTGATGTGATTTATTTTCTGCCACCTTTAAAGTGTATCTCAGAACGTTGTTATGCTCAAAGGCTGCGGACACTGGCTTTGACCTCACGGGTCATGCCTCTGTGATCTGATGGACTAAGTGGAGTTAGGAGCAAGCAGCTCAAGTACTGGGTTTGAACCCAGGACCTCTCCACCACTGACCTGCATTCCCAGCTCCTGTATATATTATTACAGGCACTTTGGAGGCTGAGGCAGGAGGATTGCAGGTTTGAAGCTAGCCTGGGCATCTTACTGAGATCCCCTCTAAAAATAAGGGCTGAAGGCTGGGGATTTAGCTCAGTGGCACCATGCCTGCCTCACCAGCACAAGGTCCTGAGTTCAATCCCCGGTACCAAGAGAAAGAAAAAGGGCTGAAGATATAGCTCAATGATACAGTGCCCCTGCGTTCAATCCTTGGTACCCAGAAAAAAACAAAACCCAAAACAACTGGCTACTCCCCCCATGACATTACAGCTATAGAGTCAAAATGGCCAGAAGAAAAATTAGTATTGGAAGATAGTGAATTATTTCAACTACTTAAAACACCACATAGAATATTTCATAGAATACAGATGACTATAGCTACAGTGGGAAAACAATCTGATTAAGTAGAATGATGATGGGCTGGTGATTTAGCTCAGTGGCACTGTGCCTGCCTCGCAAGCATAAGGTCCTGTGTTTGATCCCCAGTACCAGAAAAAAAAGTAGAATGGGGCCAGGGATTTAGCCTTGTGGTTTCACCACCTGCTGTGCAAGCACAAGGACCCAAATTCAATCCCTGGTACCAAAAAAAAAAAGTAGAATGATGACATGTAGAAATGATTTTTGGTTAGGACACCTCGTCCTTTCATCTGTTACCTTTTCCTCTTATAGCATACTCCTTTAACTTTGGGTATATTTCTACTGTATGCCACATGCAGATGTGTCAGATGCAGAGGTCAGAAAAGGAGGAAAATGAAGAACCATACCAGGATGATCGAGGGAATTCTTACTTTACTTTCTTTTTCTGGTACCGGGGGATCGAACCTAAGACCTTGCACTTGTGAGGCAGGCATGGTCCCCCTGAGCTAAATCCCTGGCCCAGGAATTCTTTCTTCATGGCTTTAACAATGACTTCTCCCTCAGGAGAGTATTGTTCTGCTTACTTAGCTTCATCTTCATCAGATGAGAATGAGCCTTCTTAGTTTCATGGGTCATAAAACAATTGGTCTCAGGAGGCAGTGTGGTGCTTGGCCAATAGAGGGAATTGTAAGATAAAATTCTTAGACAAGGCCTGTGTTTGTATTTAAGAACTTCTAGATTGTTTAAATTTCATAGATCTGAGGTTATGCACTTGTAGAAAGATGAGTGTTATAGATTAGGAAGCCAAGGTTTATAGTATGACAGCCATTTATCAATTGATCTGTGTTCAATTTAACTTTTTTTTTTTTGGTGATTACTGGATAAATCTAAAATGTAGGATAGGGTTTGCAGACCTCTGTCCTCAAATAACCTTAAATTTGGGAATGAGAATCTTGTAGGAAGTTCCCATGCTTAATTTTTTTTTTTCCTTTGGTACCGGGGATCGAACTTGGGTTCTTGAGCTTGTGAGGCAGGTGATGGAACCACTGAACTAAATCCCCGGCCCATCCCCCCATGCCTTATTGAAATCAACATCTGAATCTTGTAGAAGTGGAAAACTTTTGTTCCTAAGGCAGTTGCTTAAATTGTTTTTTTGGGTACCAGGGATCGATCTCAGGACCTTGCACTTGCCAGGCAGGCACAGAGCCACTGAGCTACATCCCCAGTCTGGAAAACTTCTACAAGGTGGGGACATCTCTTTAGTCTACAGGGAAAAGTGCCTGTTTCCTTGGGGACTCCAATAGGCCTGTGCAATCTCGGCATGAAGGAACCATGTCCTTCAGGGGGTCATGTCTCTGAGAGACCCAGGTCATTGTGGGTTACATGAGTTTGTTCCTGGGACAAGGTCATTCTTGTTGATTTGGAATAAACTATTCTAATTTTAGAAGTTGTTTTACAGTGAGAAATGATGTAGGCAAAAGTGTTCTAGGCACAGTCATCGGGATACTACCTAGCTTCTAACTGCAATAACAAAATGAGAGAGGAAAAGAGAGGAACTGAAAAATAAATCATTCCATGGAGGAAATGTTTATGTTTTAAAAAAAATTTTCTGGTACAGGGGATCAAACTCAGGACCTTGTGCTTGCAAGGCAGGCAGCAGCACCACTAAACTAAATCCCCTGCCCATGTTTATGGTTTTTAACAGCTTTCAGCTAGTAAAGGATTCTCAACATACAGAAAAATCTCAAGGAAAAGGTGAAATCCAGGGCAGCCTATAATATTTTTAATAGAGATTTCAGAGGATCTAAAAAGGTGCTTAATAAACCCTAATCCCTTCCAACAAACGAAAGGGACTTCTAATGATTTGAGAGAATGCCTCTTAGAGTCCCCTCTCAGTCAACATGACTTTTAAGAATAGTAGTGTGGGAAGTATCTTAATACTATTCATGATTTTGGCCCAAATTGCTAGACAGTAGACCTAGTCACAAAGAAAAATACAATACAGTAGGAAGACAGCTTTTAGAGGGGCAGGGAACAAGGGCCAAGGTGGTAATGAAAACGATGGATTCACTTTAGAGTTTCTTTTGAGTTGATGATGTATGGTATAGCTAGGTAAATCCCCGATGGGTGGAAATACCTAGAGTTCAGCATAGCGATCTAGGACAGGATTATTAATGCTTCAGTAATTGTGAAAGATGTTGCCCAGGGAGTATGTATAGACAGGAGAACATAAGAGTAGTGCCTTAGGCGTCACCAGCACTGGTGACAAATACAAGTCACCTCTTCAGACTAGAATGAACTAAGAGAGGCAAATTAGGCAAGAGCAGGTCAAAGAAGCCACGAGAGTAAGGACACAAAAGCATGTAAGTACTTTGAAAAGTCCCTGTGGGCACTAATGAAAGTATTAGGATGTTTGCTAGAAAACTGCTTTTACCTGTCCTCATCGGAAGGGGGAAAGGACTGACTGAATGGCCTCCTCCAACTGTAGTCCCAGAAGGAACTGCGAAGACCTGCAGCCTTGCAAGACCCAGGTTTTCTAAAGACATCATGTCTGGTCACAGGATAAACATTTCTATTGGTTGCTAATGAACTGAAGAACTTTTGTAGTAACATTAAAGCAGTTTTTAAAAAATCTAGAAAAAAAAAAAGAATAGTTAAGTGTGGCTATGAGGGCGATCTGGCTGCAACATCTGTCACCTCGTTGGTCGCCAGGGTTGATTCGGCTGATCTGGGTGGCTAGGCGGGTGTCCCCTTTGTCCCTCACCACTCCACCTGCGTCTCTCCCGAAGCTGGGTGCTAGGTGGAAGAGGACGACCAACCCCAATAGAGGAGGATCGTTTCCGTGGTCAAGGGTATACGAGTAGCTGCGCTCCCCTGCTGGAACCTCCAAACAAGCTCTCAAGAATAGTAAGCGTCGCTGCCTGCTGCGCAAGTGCAAGGACCAGAGTTGGATCTCCGGTACCAAACAAAACAAAACAAGAATAGTAGGCGTGTGGTCCTATAAAACGTTCAGAGAGGCCAAGGTGTAGAAAAATCTTATGTCCAAGAGATTTATAAGCGAGTAACTTTTGCCTAATGGCGAAGGTGATACATTAATTAAAAAAAAAATCTGAGGCATGGTGGCACACAGACCTGCTATCCCAGCTTTCGGGAGGCTGAGGCAGGAGGATGGCCTTGAGTTGGAGGCCAACCTGGGATATATAGTGAGTTCAAGGAGAGCTTGGTCTCCAAAAGAAAAAGTCTTTTTTTTTCCTCCCCTGGTACTGGTAAGGAGATCTGGGACGCTCTATCACTGAGCTATGTATTCTCTGCCTCCTCCCTTTTTCGTAGTTTTGAGACAGGTTTTCCTAAACTGCCCAGGATGGCCTCGCATTTGCCTCAGCCTCCCAGAGTGCTGAGATTACAGGAATGTGCCAACGCGCCCAGGAGCCAGTTTTTAAAAAGTCATACTAACTTGCATGAAAAAGAGCAACCCCTGTACAAAATAAAAGATCAGGGCCGGGGATTTAGCTCAGTGGTTCTGCCGCCTGCCTCGCAAGGGCAAGGACCCGAGTTCGATCCACGGTACCAAAAAAAGTTTAAAAATTACAAAAAGATCAGTGGATTTTCCTTCAGTTTCCTGTCTGTGGTTCATCTCCCTCTCCTCTTTTATAAGGATGGTTACTGATCTATAAATTTCTCCCACAGTTTTATATCAGCTTCGCTCTGTTCCGTTTATTAGCTGCTCATTGCTTTTCAAAAAGCCTTTGCCTTAAGGTGTCAACTAATTTATAACCGCCGTGGGTTAAGGCGGGACGGCGTTGACAGCCGCGCCCCTGCGCCCCGCTTTCCCACATGCCCGCTCGCGACGTCAGCGCGTGGCGTCATCGGGACGCGATGCCTCTGAGAATGCCGGGAGTAATAGTTCCTCCGCACCTCCTTCCTGTTGCGCTCGCGCACGCGCACGCGGCTTCCTAGCTCTTTGTCTTCCACTGGACAGGTGAGCGCGCCCGGCCGCTGGTGAGGGTTGGGCCTTGTTGGGCGCGTCCGGCCTTTTCCGAGCGGCCTGTCGTTTGGCGGGCGGGCTGCTCACGGGTTGCAGCGAGGTGCTGGCAGAGTCAGGCTTGGTGGTCACGGGTCCGGAGCGGCGACTTTGGGCCGAAGAGGGCTCGGTGCTCTCCTGGGTCCACGGGCCACGCCGCTCCCTCTTTCACTGGCCTGCGTCTGCGACTACGGGACTAATAATGAACGTGGCTGGCGCCAGGCTAGGCCTGAAGGCGCGTCGTCCTTTTTCGTCTGACAATGAGGAAAGCATTTTGATGTTATTAAAATGTAGTTTATTTCATGTACTTATTTTCTTCGTTTCAACTACTTGGTGTTGATCTGAAGCTGCACTTCTGGGTGTTTTTTTTCCCCCCTGTAGGTTAAGGAGTTAATTTAAAAACCAGCATGTATTCTGTTGCCTATTCGGACATTTGAAATATGTGCTTAGTGTGCAGCACCTTGATGAATAGGTTAAAATAGACATCACTTACGATGCAGTGAGAGGTCTCACAGCATTTGGTACTTTCCTCTTTCTAAACATTGTTTTTTTGTTTGTTTGTTTGTTTTGGTACCGGGGATCGAACTTGGGTCCTTGCTAAACATGTGTGTTTTAAAAAGAATCTTACCTTTTCATATTTCCTTTTAAAAATTAGGAATATCCTGCATACATTCATTACATTGCATCGTTAGTATCATTCCTTAACATGAAACATTTTTGTTCCTAGGAGCTTAAACTTACCTGAAGACTTTTTTCACCTCCTCCCGGATAACTTATGTTTCTCTTCTAGGTTTATTCTTAGTCTATCCTGTAGTCATCAGTTCTGGAAGGGGACTGTGTTGCCCCGTACTGGGAATGTGAACAGGGACACTGAAAGCCTTTGTGCACTCCAGACTTTAGTCTGTGGTCACTGGCTTGGGGGTGGACATCGTAAGTCCAGGAGCCCAGGTGTGACACTTCCTGACTTGGTTACATATGTTGGGAAGTGGCCCAACCTATTACGTTTTTACTGTTCTTCTATGCTGGGTGTTGGTATGCTAAAAAAAAAGAACCCAGTGCAGTGGTGCGCACCTGTAAGTCTCAGCACTGAGCGTGGTTTGAGTCCCACCTGGGCAACTTAAGTCCTTGTATTAAAGTAAAAAATAAAAGGGCTGGGGATGAAGCTCAGTGGTAGAGCACCCCTAGATTTGATCCCCATTACAGACCGCTCCCCTAAATGTAGTGTACTAAACATCTGACATCTATTAAGTAAGTTTTATTCTCTACTTTTTTGTAACATTCCCTTAGGACCTGAAGATGAGTTGAACTTTGGGATGATAGTGGAAGTTGTCCCTTCTGAAGATAAGTTAGAGAACTGGCATCACTGAGAGAGCTGCAGTGTTGTACAGAAAACTGCCAAGGTAAAAAACAAACAAACAAAACCAATGAAGTTAAAATAGGGCTAGTTCTATGGTAAGGGCTTTGGTATCTGTTTGCTGTGGGGTCATGTGAGGCTGAACAGAAGTCAATCCAAGGGCATTTCCTTCTGGAGGGGGCCAACTACCACAAACATTTCTTTAGTGACGTCAGGCTTAGAGTCTATGTTGTTCTTAGCAACAAACTTAAATATAAAAAATATTTTAAAACTATGCTGATTGTTTATCGCATTGCTTTCACCTGAAATTCTTGACCTTTGGTATTCTGTGTGATAAATCTCCCTCGTTTCCACATATATCTTCTTTTTTTTTGTGGTACTGGGGATCGAACTTGGAACCTTTTGCTTGAGAGGCAGGTGGCAGAACCACTGAGCTAAATCCCCTACCCTATATATCTTTCTTCTTGACAAGTTCTTACTGAAACTTAACATCATCAGGTAGTTATTTTTGTTTTTGAGATGGGATCTCAAAAGGAATGTGTTATCATGCCTAGCTAACCACCAAGAAGACTATAAAAGAAATTTTAAATAATGTTGCAAATTTGGCTATTTGCTGGAGTAAATATTTGAATGCTAAAGTTTTTTTTTTTTTTGGTATCAGGGATCGAACTCCGGTCCTTGTGCTTGCGCAGCAGGCAGCGAAACCACTGAGCTAAATCCCTGGCCCTGAATGCTAAAGTTTTATTGTTTATAGTATCATACTTTTTCTTATGTGAAACGAAATGAACACGTAATACAAATGGAATGACATTTGTGGGTACTTTTTTTGGTCTTTCATGTGTGTTTTATTTGTGTGTATGTATATGGTTGTTTTTCTTTTTGTTTTTGGTGGTGGTTGGTATAAAACCCAGGGAAGACTGAATTACATCCCCAGACCTTTTGAGGCTAAGCTGCCCACAGGCTAGGTGTGATAGTGTGCACCTGTGTTCCCAGCACTTGAGAGGCTGAGGCAGCAGGATTGCCTCAAGTTCGAGGCCAGCCTTGGCTACGAAGTAAGTCCAAGGCCAGCCTGAACTACATAGTGAGACCCTATGTCCAGAAAACTAGGCAGGGGGAACCAGTATCTGCCCTGGGACTTATAATCTTTTTGCCTGAGCACCCTGAGTAGCTGGAATTAGCAGGTGTGCACCCTCATGCCTTGCCTGTTTTCTACCTTTTTATTGTTCTGTACAAGAAAGCTATTGAGCTGTGGATGCAACTCAGTAATAGAGTGCTTGGCTAGTGTGTGCAAAGCCCAAAGTTTACCCCTCAGCACTACAAAAAAGAGAGAAAAAGCTGTTGATACTATAGACATGTTTATTGACCTAGAACTTTTTCTTTTCCCTTTCCTTCCTCTGTCCCTCCCTCTTTCATTCATTCATTCATTCATTCATTCATTTTGAAGTACTAGGGATTGAACTCAGGTCTTTCTCACTAAACTACATCTGTAGCATACACCACCCCCTCCTCCATTTTAATTTTGTATTTTTTTGGTACTAGGGGATCGAACTCGGGTCCTTGTGCTTGCGAGGCAGGCGGTGGAACCACTGAGCTAAATCCCCGGCCCCATTTAAAATTTTTGAGGTCAAGGTCTCACTAAGTTGCTAAGTTGCCAAGGCTGGGCTTGAACTTGAATCCTCCTGCTTCAGCCTCCCAGAGTGCTAGGATTACAGGCATATCCCACCATGCCCAGCAAAAAGATTTCTTTTTAATATATTAAGGAAAAAACGAAAACAGCTTTTAAATGTGACTGCTGTGGCTTGTGTCTAGATGTCCCCCTAGAGCCTGATGTGGCCATAGATTGTGTTTTTCAGAGGTGGCTGGATCTAGAGTGTGTAATGCTGGGATCAGGCGTGTGTGGTTACTAAATTAGTCCACTAATTGGTTTGGCACAGTTCTGGGTAACATTAAGGGTGCCCTACCCTGGGCATAAGTGCTACCTGCCTTAAGAGCTGGTTGCCTGGTTAAAGTGTAAGGGACAGACAGAAGGTTGCTGCTGTTTGCCTTCTGCCTGCCATGAGCTATTTCTCCTCTGTGATGCCCTTCTATCATGCCACCCTGCCTTTGAGCCAGCTGAATATGGACTGAAACTTCTACAGACTGTGAGCCAAAATAAACCTTTCCTCCTTTAACTTTGGGCATTGTGTATTTTGTCTCTGCAACACGAAAAATAAGACAGTGACCATATGTTTCTGGCTTTTATTTTGTGGGTTTTTTTCCCCTTCCCAGTTCTAGGGATTGAACCCACAGTCTTCACACCAACCTACATCTCCGGCTCTTTTCATTTTGAGACAGGGTCTTGCTAAGTCACTAAATTGCCCAGGTTGGAGTAGTATTTTTAGTCCTTCTGCCTCAGCTCCAGAGTGTTAGCATTAAAGTGTGCGCCACTGAGCCCATTTACCATGTCAGAATAGTTTCCAGCATCTCTTAAGAGCTATCTTAAGGTGGTGAGATATGTGTGAGGTGGTGAGCAGTAATTCTTCTTACTTACTCTGTATACATTTGAAAATGTTACAAATATTTTAGTTTTGTAGTTTTTTTTTTGTTTTTTTTTTTGGTACCAGGGATTGAACTCAGGTCCTTGCACTTGCGAGGCAGGCTACAGAACCACTGAGCTAAATCCCTGGCTGTTTTGTAGTTATTACTGCTACTACTTGTTAAATGATGCCTGTACTACCAGGTCTTCTAAAGTGTAGATATTATCACAATTTAGGCCATAAAAAAGTATATAACAGGGAGAAACCTTGGTGTGTGTTTCTGAGGTAACACTGAAGTTTGAATCACAGAAAGGCATGTAAGGGAATAACTTGGTTCAGTGCTGGTCTTTAGGATGGTTAAGGGTTAGTCGGGCTGATCTTTATTTGTTTTTGTGGAATAAGTGATAGAATGTGAGCATGGAAATGAGAGCTAATTCCAGAATTTGTGTTGTGTGTGATGTGTATGTGTATACATATATATATACACACACACACAAATGAGGTCACAACATAGCAGGAAGAGAAATAACTCAGTTCTGCTTCTTAATAGCTGGGCACACTAAATCACTAAGTTTTCATTGTCTCTTTGTGAAATGGGCATTTGTTAAATTCTTTGTGCTGTCTGTGATGATGAAAGTACTTGGTATGTGTCTAATGAATAGAATACTCACATTTTAACTGTTGTAATTGTTGTAGGGCATCTGTCACCTTATTGTAACATCTCATTTTCCCCTCCATATCCCACTCTGAGGTCCACTTTCTCCTCACCATTTTCACAAATAAACAGAAGCCAAGAAGGCAAGAAAAGAAAAAGAATAGTAAATGTCATAACCACAATAATTGTGACTGTATTGAATTTGTCAGGCAAGACAGATTATTACTTTGGATTACAAACAAATTTGAGCTCTGAGCTGCTTCTAAGAGAAAAACATAATGAAGCTGAGATTTTAAGTGTTGTTGCATGATGGATGGATAGCAAATGCTAGGCCAAAAGGATGCCAACGCGGCCAACTTCATCCAAGGTGAAATAGATTTTTAAGGTAGAAAGCTTTTGAGGTATGAAGTGTCATTACATGAAGACGAAAGAAATAATCCTCCAGTATCATAGCCTTAAGCATGTAGTCCATATATTCACAGAAGAACTAAGTATAATCGTATATGAGATTCAGTTCAATTTCCTTTAGAAATTGATAAAATTGGCAGACAAAAATAGGAAGGATATAGTAGATTTTAATAGCAAACTTAGGTTCAGAAAAGTGAAGTTTGTTTGTTTTAGCCAAAAACTACATAACCAAAGCTAGGTAACGTGGTATATGCTTGTAATTCCAGCACTCTGGGAGGCTGAGGGAGGTAGATGACAAGACTGAGCCCAGCCTGGGCAACTTAGCAAGTCTCTGTCTCCAAAAAAAGGCCAAGGATATAGTCCAGTGTGAAGGGCCTGGATCTAATGTATTGTTTTTCTCTTCAATCTATGTCAGTATGAATTTTTAAAAAATCACATAGCCAATAAAGGAAAAAAGTTGACTGAAACTCAAATCTGTTTTAAATTAAATCACATAAGCTTTGAAAATTTTAATCAGCTTAAAATAGACTTGTCTTTTTTTTTCCATAACACCTGTTAAAGTGATTTGCATTTCAGAGCCCACTGTACATATGCAATAAATCACAGAATTATTTGTGATAATTCTTTCTCTGTTTGTAGAGATAGGGACTTGGGTTGTACTTCAGTGGATCTTGCTTCTGTTCCTGAGAGGCCTATTTTAATTATGTAGTAACCATACCTTGGCTTTAGATGATCATAAATTCCTAGGTTCTGGCAAGGGAGGAAATGGTTTAGGGTATGACCTGAACTACCATTTGAAGGTATTTGTCCTATACCCACAGATCTGGTTCTCACAAGTAGGCCTGATTAGATGAGAACAGAGTTCCTGGGACCAAAAATTCATCCACTGTAGAGAAGACATAGCCAAGACCTCACCCCAGAGCTTTGGGGCAGAAGCAGAAGAAACCTAGAATACAACACATCTCACACTTGCTAATCGTCTTGTGCAGGCAACAGATAATAACCATGTTACAGGTAAGTTGATTGTTCCTCCTTATCATTTCTCCAGGGGATTAGTAGAGATAAATAAGTGTTCCACTGAAAAAGAAAAGTGTGAGTGGTTAAGAAATCAGGGGAAATAACCTCAGAATAGAAGATCAGGATTGGGGTACATTTGGAGCAGTGATGCATTAACTATAGGACCTTGGAAAGTTCTTAAAGTTTGAATACTACCTGTAAACCATAGTATCCTGCATGATTATTGCATTTGAGCTGCAAACTTGTTTTTCAGATTTCTGAAAGAAATAAGAAATGTTTAAGTTCCACAATTCAAAGGAAGAAGAAAACCAATTGCCCATAGGAAGTAAATATTTCTTGGCATTAGGTACTCCTTTGTGTTTTGTGTTTGTTTTGGTTTTTTGGTACCGGGGATCCAACTCGGGTCCTGCGCTCGTGCAGCAGGTGGCGAAACCACTGGGCTGAATCCCCGGCCCGGGTACTCCTTTTTTTTCCTTGAGTAAGGTCTTTTTTGGTTTTTTTTAGTACCGGGGATTGAACTTGGGAATTTGTGCTTGCAAGGCAGGCGCCGGACTCACTGAGCTAAATCCCCGGCCCTTGAATGAAGCCTTTAAACAAATGGTATCATGGGTTAGGTTCACAAGAGAAACATTATACTGAGTGCATGGTTTTTGTTTTTTGGGTTTTTTTTGCAATGTCTATGACTGAACCCAGGACTTGCACATGCTAGGCAGGCCCTCTACCACTGAGAGAAAACCCTAGCATGTGATCCGGAGGTAGAATCCACAGCAGGATTTTTCATTTATTTATTTTTTTGAGACCAGGTCTCATAATGTTGCCAAGCTTTTCTTACAATCATAGGCTCAGATGATCCCCTGTTTCAGCCTCTGGAGTAGCTGGGTCTGCAGCCATAGACTACTATACCCACCTTTTTTTTTTTTCTTTCCTTCTGATTTTTGACTTTGTTAATTCATTCTTTTTCATGGTTTTATATTTTCTTATTCCTTATGATATCTAATGTTTCTGTTTGGAAAAATCTAAACCTGTTTTTTAAAAGCCCCGAATTGCACTTTTCTCTTGCAATTCTTTTTTTTTTTTGAGACAGGGTCTTGCTGTGTAGTTCAGCCTGGCCTTGAACTCACCATGTAGCCCAGGCTAGCCTTGAACTCATGACAATCCTCCTGCGTCAGCCTCCCAAGTGCTGGGATCACAGGCATGCGCTGCCACAGCTGGCCCACTGTTGTAATTCTTAGGAAGTACTTTCCTCCATCTGCAGGTGCTGAGTTTTATCCAGTGCTTTATCTGTGTCAGGTTGAGATGATCATATATTTTTCTCAATCTATTCATTTGTTGATAAGAGATTGTTTTTCTCTTCAATCTGAATTGATGTCGTTGTTTTTTGTTTGTTTGTTTTTGGTACCAGGGATCGAACTTGGGTCCTTGTGCTTGTGCAGCAGGTGGCAAAACCACTGAGCTAAATCCCTGGCCCTGAATTGATGTTTAAACTATTAAACTAACCTTGAATTCCTGGAAAAAAAACCCCTCCAACTTAGTTTTATTTATCTTAGTATATTGCTCAGTGTAGTTTATAATTTCATATTGGGGTGCATGTGTAAATTGGCTGTTCCTTTTCCTTTTTCATAATAAACTTAGTGAGTTTTGGTATTGAGGTTATACTGGTATCAAAAAGCTTATGGGGGGCTGTGGATTTAGTTCAGTGGTGCTGCCACTTGCCTTGCAAGTGCAAGGTCCTGAGTTTGATCTCTGGTACAAAAAAAAAAAAAAACTTATGGGAAGAGCGCCAGGGATTTAGCTCAGTGGCACCACACTTGCCTGGCAAGCCCAAAGTCCTGAATTCGATCCCTGGTACCAGAAAAAAAAGAAGCTTATGGGAACCAGGCATAGTGGTTTACCCCTGTAATCCCAGCACTCAGGAGGCTGAATCAGGAGGATCACCGTGAGTTTGAGGTCAACCTGGACTGCATAGTAAGTTCAAGGCTAGCTTGCACTACACAGTGAGACCCTGTTTCAAAAAACAAAGAGGGCTGGGGATTTAGCTCAGTAGTTCTGCCACCTGCCTTGCAAGAGCAAAGTCCTGAGTTCGATCCCCAGTACCAAAAAAAACCAAACAAAAAAGCTTATGGGCACGTTACTGTGGTTTTTGCAAGAGTTTGTTAAAATTAGTATTATTTCTATAATAATATTTGCCAAATTAACTGGTAAAGCCATTTTTCATGTATGTATAAGAAGATTTTTCACTCAGGGGACCAGTATTTTCCAGGTAACTATTACATGATGTTAAAAAAAATTAATGGATGAAAGATCATTAAAAAACAAGATAGGGGGCTGGGGATTTAGCTCAGTGGTTTTGTTGCCTGCTGCGCGAGAGCAAGGACCTGAGTTCAATACCTGGTACCTGGTACCCCTGCCCGCCCCCCCCAAAATAAACAAGATAGGAGGCTGGGGATTTAGCTCAGTGGTTCTGCTGCCTGCCTCACAAGTATAAGGTCCCAAGTTGAGTCCCTGGTCCCAAAACAAAACAAAACAAAAACAAGATAGGACAGGGGCCAGAGATTTAGTGCAGTGGCATTGCTCCTGCCTCAAAAGCACAAGATCCTGAGTTCGATCCCTGGTACCAAAAAAAACCACCCAAAAACAAAAGACAAGATAGGACAATGGATTTCTTAAAGATTTGTTTAACACATGGACCACAGATTTTAATGTAACAATATGAGAAATTCACTAATGAAGTTGAAGAGTCTTTATTACAGCTCATCCTTAGCAGTCTGCCTGTTCACTGGTTCTGGGTAACATCAAGGAAGATTATCTGTCATTACAGGAGGATTGCAAGTTAAAGCCCAGCCTGGGCAATTTGCCGACTTGGGCTAGGGAAGTGGTCAGTACACAGGCTCTGGGTTCAGTTCTCAGTACCACAGAAAACACCCTCCCGTTTTGGTTTGTGTGAATTGTATGAATGGAAAGATGCATAGTGGCCTTTACCTTGGTGATTTACAGCTTGTGGTGAGGAGAGCACAGGCCCGAGCTCCGAGCTGTCTTTCCCCAGCATGCAATGAGGGCTGCTTCAGATTTATTAGAGCTGTGCTCTTGCAGGAGTTGTTCTCATTTGAAGATTTGTCTGTGGACTTCAGCCAGAAGGAATGGCAGCTCCTGGAGCCACACCAGAAGAACTTGTACAGGGATGTCATGTTGGAGAACTACAGCAGCCTTGTGTCACTGGGTAAGAAAGGTACCCATGAGTATCTTGGTGTGCCCAATGCATTGTTTTTGTTCTTTGTTTTGAGACACGGTCTTGATGCATAGTTCAGGCTGGCCTTGAGTCTACTGTGTAGTCTAGGTTGGATCTGAACTTGCAGTGATCCTCCTCCCTCAGCCTCCTAAGTACTGAGATTACAAGGGTTTTTTTATTGAGTTGCTTAATGCTGTAGGATTGTGAAAAAAACTTTGTTTTTTGTTTTTGTATTTTTTTGAAACAAGATCTTGCTATGTAATTCAGGCTGACCTTGAACTTGCTAGATTGTCCAGGCTGGCCTCGAACTCATGGCAATCCTCCTGTCTCAGCCTTCCAGTTGCTGGGGTTATAAGTGTGTGCCACAATGCCCGGCTAAGATTCTGAAAATTTTAAATGAACGTGGACTGGAATTTAGGAAATCAAAATTCCTTAGGCTTGGACAGTTTCTTTATACTTTCTGTTTTAAGTACTTTGTGTATTTAGAGCCAGGTATAGTGATGCACACCTATAATTTCAGGAACTTGGGAGGCTGAGGGAGGAGGATGGAAAATTCAAGGCCAGCCTGAGTGACTTTGTGAGGTTGACTCAAAAACAAAAAGGCTGGGGGAATTGCTCAGTGGTTAGGTCTTACCTGTTGTGCTTGAGGCCCTGGGTTTAGTCTCCAGGACCACACTCACAAAAGAATTTGGCTCTCGCCCTCCAGTAATGAAGCCTTAGGCCCTTGAAAATCTCTGAATCTATGTGCTAGTAGTAGTGGTGATGGTGGCACCTATAGTGTATGAATTTTGGCTCACCACGTGCTGTACCATGAGCCTACATAGTCTTTGGAGCAGTCCTATATGCCAGGTACAATGATTATCCTTTTTTCTGGTAAGAAAATCAAGACCTTTCCCAGGACTGACAGCTAGTAAAGGGGAGCCCGGACCTGAACCCGGGAGCCTGGCTGCAGAGCTCTGAGGTATTGGATGGTTTTAGATTTAAATTATAGAAGGTAAAGACTCTTAGGTCTTGTTAGCCACCAGGGAGATCATTGCTCTGACTTCGAGTTATTTGTTCTGTTGAGATCCAGCTTCATCTTGTGGACTCTGAGGCTAAGGGTTGCTCTTTCTCCAGGGCCCTTAAAGCCCATGGATTCAGATCTACAGCCTTTGTGTTTTCCCCCAAACAGGGTACACAGTTATGAAACCAGATGTCATTTTCAAGTTGGAGCAAGGTGAAGAACCATGGGTAGGAGATGGAGAAGTTCAGCATTCAGACTGTCCAGGTGAGTGTGAGAGAGCCAGGCTGGGAGGCAAAGAGGCCTGGTCTCAGTGGGCCAGTGGTGGGTGGTGTCTTTGAAATGTGGCTCAGGAGCTTTTTTCAGAATCTAAGCCACTGTGCTGATGCAGAGCAGTTGACATCAGCTGTGCTGGTAAATCACCATTAGCTGTGTCTTACTTGTAGCTTAAAATGAAACATTTTGTCCTGATTAAAGGCCTGACAATTTTTATAGCCTTTTTATAGTTTGAATCAAGGACTTGGACTTCTTGTTTTATCTTCCCCTGGGTCAAAGACATTTCTGCTTGTGAATGCCAGAATTTTATTTTAAATTCAATTTAGGAGCACCCTGCAAAGCCTCTCTGTTCCTTGTCACTATAATAGAAAATGAAATCATCATTTCTCTCCAGACATCCTCCCTTTTAAACTAGATTCTACTCTACTTTTCCATAGTTTAGACACAATGGAGTGTAAAAGTAATCTGTTCCTACCATTCTTTCTTACTTTAAATATTTTTGATTTTTGGAAAGTATCATTTTATTTTAGTTTAGTTTAGTTTAGTTTAGTTTTTTTTTGGTACTGGGATTGAACTCAGGATCTTGACTTGCGAGACAGGCACTGCACCACTGAGCTAAATCCCCAGTCTGGAAGGTATCATTTTAAGACTTTGCCTCTTTGACTTCCACATAAAACTACAGACATGAAACCGAGGATGATGGTACATGCCTATAATCTCAGCACTTGAGAGGGTGAGGCAGGAGAATCACCATGAGTTTGAGGACAGCCTGGGATACATAGTTCAAGGCCAGCCTAAACTACATAGTCAGACTATCTTCCTCCCCAAAAGAAACAAAAGAAACCATGCCCATGGTTTCTCTTTCCTGAAGTTCCTCAAAGTGGACCTTTTAAGTGGACCTAGGTTCTAATCTTTCATAAGTTATCTTCAATAACGTGCACGACGATTTGATTTTCTAAATCAGCCAACACACACTGATCACTTAAACCTCCTTATACTGATTTACTCCAGATTCCCTCAGAAACAGATCCTGGGTACATATCTGAGTGCAAGAACTTATTGGAATGTGGTCCCCCCAAGTACATTGGGAAAATGGGGACTTGAGATGGGAATAGCAGTGCCAGTGACAGGTGGCATTGCTGTGGGCCATGGGGCACAGTGCTGCTGAGAGCTCTCTAAGGCACTGTGAGAGCTCATCCCTGCTCTGAGCCTCCCAGGATTTACCCCCACCTCCTGTCCCTGATTGAGGTGTGGCAAGTCCCGAGGATGTCCAGTGTCCCTGCATGTACCCCTTTAAAGGTGAGAGAGATACAGGTGCCTAGGTTTAAACATTTCTCATTGTTTTCAGACATTTAACATTTATTCTCTGCATTTGAACTTCTGATCGTGTTCTGCAAATTGTGTAGAAATTCTTTGTCCTCTCTGCAGGAACTGAGTGTTCATTATACTCATTTATGAGATGTTCCTTGAACACTCCAGCCTACATTGTTCTCCCATTTTTCTGAAGCCCCATCCCAGACCTGATCACATTGTTTATAGTATTTTTAGTTGTGTGGTCCCTGAGTTTTATTTGGACATACAGATGCAAAGGCTTATGATTTCATACCTGTGCTTCATTTATGGAGCACATAGTATTTGTTTATGTAGTTTCTCTTTGCAGTGTTTTTTTAGCATAGATTTTTGTAGCCAGGCATGCATCACATTACCTGGGGATTTTTCTCCAGCTTTGGGTGTCATAGATCCAAAACCAAAAGCTGATTGAGTAGAATGATATACATGGAGTTTTAAACTTGTTGAGCATTCCTGTTTCATTGCAAATCTGCAAAGTTAGCTATCTGTCAAACTGGGATTGTGTGTCTGCTCCCCAAGATCATCCCCATGTTCAGAGTCATAAGAAGGGCTCCTGGTATCAAGCATGTAGATGTCATTGTGGCTGTGGTTTATTTCCATGCCCTGGTGAGGTCACTCAGCTGGATTATAGCAGAGGCCCAGACTCTTTGAAAAAAACCTGTGTACAGCTTTTCATGCTCTTGCAGTGAGGCATAGTGACACCTGTCCAGTGTGTCTGACCCTGGGAGCCCATCACTGACTAGATGCTTGTGTCCTTCCTGGGGCTGGCTAGGTGGTCTGCTGCCTCATATCTGCCAGCCTGTTGACCCTTAGAAGGAGGCTGTGTGTTTGTGTACATTCTTAGTTCAGAGAACTGTGGGAGCAGTGCCGGAATCCCAGTCCCCAGATACCAGCCAGTGGCAGTGTTGTTGGCGGCCTTTCTCTGGACAGCAGTCTCAACTGCTGCTGACTCTGCATTGAGTACACACTGATTTCTTCTACTTTCCAGGGTCGTTCTGGGTATAGTAGGGAGCATGAGAAATAGACCCCCCACTCCATAATGCTTACTTTTTAGTAGGAGGATTAAAAAATGAACAGGTTAGCCTGTAACCAAGAAAATAATCAGACCCTGATGAGTACTATCACAGAAATAAATCAGATGATATAGTAGAGAGTAGTGTATTAGTCTGCCATAACAAATGACTACAGAGTGATAAAGAAATTTACTTCTTACAGTTCTGGATGTAGGGAAGTGCAGAATCAATTTCTGGGCTTACAGACAGTTGCCTTCTTGCTGGTGCTTACACAGCTTCTTCCCTGAGTGTCAGGAGAGAGAGCATACTCCAGTGTCTCTGCTGCCATAGACCCTCAGATCACAGTCCCACCTTTGTCCCCTAATTTATCCATAGTTACTTCCTTAGGAACTCTATTTCACAATGCAGACATGCTAGAAATTAAGAGTTCAACATAGGAATTTTGAGAGGACCCAGACATTTATTTAGTCTATAACAAAATAATGTGGAGAAGCCAATTCTAGATATGAAGAATGAGGTGGGCATGGTGGTGCAGGCTTGTAATCCCAGCACTCAGGAAGCTGAAGCAGAGTTGCCGTGAGTTTGAGGCCAACAAGTTCAAGACCAGCCTAAACTATACAGGGAGCCCCTTTCTCAAAAAACCAAACCAAACCAAAATAGATACGAAAAATATGAAATGAGCAGGCAGTGTGAAGAACTGATGGGCAGGATGTCCAAAAGGAGTGACAGCTGTGAATAAGAGAAGTGAGAAGAGGCTTATTGATATTAAGGTGCTGAACGGAAGCCTGTGTGGCTGGAATTTGGTGTTCTGGAGAGCCCAAGAAAGGCAGAGGGTAGGAACCAGATCCTACCTCTACTTGTAAACAACAGAAAGAGGATTACTTGAAGTAATTTAAATAAAAGCAAATTTTTGGTTTATATTTTTAAAAGTTAATTCTGACCACAGAGTAGGAAATGTAATGGAAGCCAGTACATCAATTAGAAAGGTATGTCATCATCTGTCTAGGCTGGGCCTGGTGGCATATGCCTGTGATTCCAGCACTCTAGGAGGCTGAGGAAGGAGGACTGTTATTTGGAGCCCAGGAATTTAGCAGTTCAGTGAGACCCTGTACTGAAATAAAGAGGCTGAGGATGTAGGTCAATGTGAAGGTCCTGGTTTCAATCCTCAGTACCGCCCAAAAAAAGAAAGAAAAAAAGATTATTTAGATGATATGATAGATTAGACTATAAGAGAGAAGAGTAATAAAGACAGTGTAGGTGTTGGGATAGATCACAGATGGCCAAGTATAAGGCAATGTCATCTTCCTTTCTCTATCTTATTTCTCATTCTCTGTTCTCTCCCTCTCCTTCTCTCTCTCCCTCTCCCCCTCCCTCTCCCCCCACCCCTTCCTTTCTCTGGCTGTCTGTCTCTTTGTCTCTTTCACAGTACTAGGGATTAAACCTATGGGCATTCTCCCACTGAGCTACATCCCCAACTGCCACCCCAACACACTTTTTCTTTAAATTTTGAGATAGAACTTCATTGAATTTCCCAAGCTGATCTTGAAGATATGATTCTCTTGCCTAATCCTCAGTAGCTGAGATTACAGGCATGTGCCATTGTACCCACCTATTCCCACATTTTTTTTTTTTTTTTTTTTTTTACCAGGGATCAAACTCAGGACCTTGCATTTGTGAGGTAGGTGCAGCACCACTGAGCTAAATCCCTGGCCCCCCACATATGTATATATATATATTTTTTGGTACCAGTGATCGAACTTGGGACCTCTTACTTGTGAGGCAGGCGGCAGCACCACTGAGCTAAATCCCTGGCCATATATATTTATTTGATTCAAAGTCTTCAAATACATCCCAAGACTAAAGCATCTACAGTGGACCCTCAATTTAGCTTCTAGTCTTCTTTCTTGCCCATCTCAGTAATTAACACCATAATCCACTGAATTGGTCAGTCCCAGACCTAGGGATCATTTTTGATTCCTTTCTTTCCTTGTCCCGCCCACATCAGATCATCAGCAAGTCTTGCTGATTCTTCCTTCACGAGGGCTTTTATGACTCACAATGAGCTAAGCATTTTCCACAAATATATTGCCTCCATGGACATTGAAATCTCTGGAAGTTTTCACAATACCAATGATCTTTCATACCTTTAAGCATGACCTCGCAAAACATCTTGAATATAAGTTTTTATTAGAAAGCAGTGCTTTTGAAAAGCACTTACGACTTGAAAAGAAGTGGTTATGTTATGAGGATGATGGAAGTAGAGTTGATGAGAAATGAGCATGTCTTTTCCCCCTGTGGGAACTTGTGTCTTGAGTCCTTTCATTGAGAGTTCACCTGGGTTTAAAAGTTCTGTGCCTGAACAGTTAACATGAAAGAGGATATATTTTGATAGCATATGTTGCATCAAGTGTTTTCTTGATAATAAATGTTGGAGATGCATACAGCCCAGTTTAAATAACACTTCCTGAAAATCTAAGAATGGGAAAAATACACAAATATTTCTTATTCTTCAAGCTTGACATAGTTTTAGCCTATTACTCTATCCAGTGTATTTATTTTCTAGTCCTTACCACAATTTCAGCTTTGTTATTTTTAAAAAATACTCTATTTTGGGCCAGGGATTTAGCTCACTGTAGCTGCACCTGCCTCACAAGCTCAAGGTCCTGAAATTCCCAGTACCGAAAAAAAAAACAACACCACCAACTCTATTTTCAGTCTTCTCCACTGAAATGTAAGTTCCTTGCTCTGTTCTACAGTACTTGCACTGCTTGGAGTGTGTGTGTGCCTGCTTGGTTCTGAGTTAGCACATCCTAGAACCTTGGACCAGGGCCTCCTCCTGCCTCCTTGTTGTATTCCTTATTGCTTGTCATGTAGTTTTTATATTCATCGATAAGCTTTTGTTTGCTAATAGCAAGAGATGATTTATCCGTAGACAGTTTCCTGTCTTTTTTCAGTATTTCTCATGTTTTTCAATATGTAGAAGGTAGGCATTCTGGTTTTTTTCATACTCAGAAGCTAATCCCTAACAAGCAGTTAGACCCTCAACATAGCATTTGTGGTGTTTTATTCCATGAAGCACAACCAAACAGATTTTCTGTTTCTATTTTAGAAGCCTGGCAAGTAGATGATCACATGACATGGCAACAGGAGAACCAAGACCAGCCTAGAAGTTTGAAAAGAGGTCATGAGTGGGATGTATTTGGAAAAAATTTCACTCTTAACATGGATTTTGTTTCATTAAGTAAATCAAACAATGAAGGTGATTTAGATGGATTGATTTTAGAACATCATTTAGATTTGCTTATCCCAGAAGCAGACTGTGGAAGAGAATCAGATGACTTTAATGTATTTGATAAATTGTTTCTCAATACCAAGCCTCAGGAAGCTGATACTTGGTTAAAATACTATGAATGTGATAAATGTGATAATATTAACTATAAAAAGTCCCAGATTGTCATTTATCACAGAACTCGTCTAGGGGAGAAACTTTATGAATGCAGTGAATGTAGGAAGCGCTTCAGCAAGAAGTCAAGCCTCATTAAACATCAGAGCAGACACATAAGAGAGATAGCTTATGGCTGTGGTAAATGTGGGAAAACCTTTCCCCAGAAGTCACAGTTCGTCACACACCATAGAACTCATACTGGAGAGAAACCTTATGACTGTGGCCAGTGTGGGAAAGCTTTCTCCCAAAAGTCACAGCTCACATCCCATCAGAGGACACACACAGGAGAGAAGCCCTATGAGTGTGGTAAGTGTGGCAAAGCCTTTTCCCGGAAGTCTCATCTCATATCACATTGGAGGACACACACTGGAGAGAAGCCTTATGGCTGCAGTGAGTGTGGGAGGGCCTTCAGTGAAAAGTCAAATCTCATTAATCATCAGAGAATTCATACAGGAGAGAAACCATTTGGATGCAGGGAATGTGGGAGAGCCTTTAGCAGGAAGTCACAGCTTGTGACACATCACAGGACTCACACAGGAACAAAGCCCTATGGATGTAGTGATTGCAGAAAAGCCTTCTTTGAGAAGTCAGAACTCATTAGACACCAGACGGTTCACACTGGAGAGAAACCCTATGAATGCAGGGAGTGTGGGAAAGCTTTCAGAGAGAGGTCAAGCCTCATCAATCATCAGAGAACCCATACCGGAGAGAAGCCCCATGGGTGCCTGCAGTGTGGGAAGGCCTTCTCCCAGAAGTCACACCTCATATCCCATCAGATGACACATACAGGAGAGAAGCCCTTTGTGTGCAGTAAATGTGGAAAGGCCTTCAGCAGAAAGTCCCAGCTTGTTAGACATCAGAGAACTCACACAGGAGAAAAACCCTATGAATGCAGTGAATGCGGGAAAGCATTTAGTGAAAAGTTGAGTCTCACCAATCATCAGAGAATTCATACAGGAGAAAAACCTTATGTGTGCAGTGAATGTGGGAAAGCCTTTTGTCAGAAGTCGCATCTCATATCACATCAGAGGACACACACGGGAGAGAAACCCTATGAATGCACTGAATGTGGGAAAGCCTTTGGTGAAAAGTCAAGCCTTGCAACTCATCAGAGGACTCATACTGGAGAAAAACCATATGAGTGCAGAGACTGTGACAAAGCTTTCTCCCAGAAGTCACAGCTAAACACTCACCAGAGAATTCACACAGGAGAGAAACCCTATGAGTGCACTCTTTGTAGAAAAGCCTTCTTTGAGAAGTCAGAACTAATTAGACATCAGAGAACTCATACAGGAGAAAAACCTTATGAATGCAGTGAGTGCAGAAAAGCCTTCAGGGAGAAGTCAAGTCTCATTAACCATCGGAGGATACACACAGGAGAGAAACCTTTTGAATGCAGGGAGTGTGGCAAAGCCTTCTCTCGAAAGTCACACCTCATTCCACATCAGAGGACACACACAGGTGAGAGGCCTTATGGCTGCAGTGAGTGTAGGAAAGCCTTCTCTCAGAAGTCACAGCTTGTGAACCATCAGAGGATTCACACAGGAGAGAAGCCGTATCAGTGTATCGAGTGTGAGAGAGCCTTCTCCCAGAAGTCACAGCTTATTAACCACCAGAGAAATCACACAGGACCAAAGTCCTAGGAGTGAATAAGTGAGCCTAATAGATCCACACCTCGTTTGCTTCAGAAAATGCAGTCATGGTGAATCTTGTGCCAACAGTTGCATTCCATTGTATGTCAGACTGTCCCTTAAAGTTGTGTAAGTGAGGTTGTGCATGGGACATTTTATCAGGCAAGCATACCTATCAGCACTCATGGAGGAGAGTGAACCTGTGAGTGCATTGGGTCCCTGGAATCTTCCAGAGCACTTGAGCCTTGTTCCATGGACAGACCAAGCAGGGATCCTGTGAATGTAGGAAAGCCTTGCAGAGGTCGGTCTCATTAGCCATTAGAAATGTTCCCAGTGCATTTGAGGGGAAACTTTGGAACAAGTGTGGTTATACTTTTATCAAGAAATGACAGCTCATTGTACTTAAGAAAATGACCTTAGGAGTGAAATTATATGAAATAAAAAAGTTCAATCAATGTTCATCAAGTAACCTAGCTGCATTGTATTTTAGAAAGTTTATATTGCAGATAAACCTAACAAGCATATTGGAAACATATGTCCCTAGAAATAATGCTATGAAGGGAAGCCATACACATCTTTTGTTTTTCCTTTATTTTTGAGGCAAGGTCTTGTTATGTAGTTCATGATGGCCTTAAATTCTCTATATGGCCCAGGCTTTGAACGTGTGGTGATCTTCCTGCCACAGCCTCCTGAGAGTTTAGATTATAGGTGTACTCTTCTTATAGATAGTTAGATCAATCTCAATTTCAACTGGTTGACGAGTGTTCACTCTGGAGTGTGAAGTTTTTAAAATGTGGAACTAAATTGAATCATTGAAACATCTGAAGAAGAAAATTTTTAGTGGTGTTTCTGACTTACTGTCCAGTGCCACATAATATCTTTTGTGTGTTTTGATTACTATTTACAATTGAGAATTCAATTCAGAACATAAAATATATATACCTTATAGTGCCTCTTGATATGTCAAGACACACTATATCACCGGAATGAAAAGAGAAACTCACATAACATGGCCTGTTGCTGAATAAGTAGATTAAATAATATCACATTTCTTTTATCCTTAATGTTTGTTTGCATATATTTTTATTGTTCTCTTTAGTAAGAGATGAACATTTTATTAGTTTTCTACATTCACAGAATCTGAGAAACAGTTCATATAAAATCCTGTTAATAAGTTTGCAAAGACAACCAAGAATAGCAATAGTCATGTATGATACTGAGTGAGCAGAAGAGTGTGTGAACTATACTCCTCAGCATTCACCTGTATAAAAGGATGTATTGCTGTAAAATTCTCTCATTTGGTGGGCTGCCTCCATATGTCTTTCCTGTATATCTTAAGTGCTGTGTGACCCAACAGTGTGTTGCATTTTAATTTCCTATGATGACATATGAATATGTTGTGCTGCCGCTGTGTTGTGTTATTTCATAAAGTATCTTGTAAAAAATTAGATGGAGAAACCAGTTATTGAGTCGTGACTTTTCAGAAGATGTGAAATACAGAGAATTTTGTGGTTAAAAAAAATTACTGGGCTGGGGATGTAGCCCAGTGGTAGAGTGCTAGCCTACCATACAGAATGTTGTGTGTTCCATCCCCAGAACTGCTCAAAAAAGGTAAAAATTTTTGACACATTCAGGGATGTGTTTTGCTTTCCTGTGTACCTTTGGGATTGCTGACAAGTGTTAGGAAATACAGTTTCCATTATTTCTTCCTTTGGAGTAGTTGTTTAACCTTCTTTCATCTGTTGCCTTAGCCAAGTGGGAAACTGTTAGTAACTTACTTTACTCCTTTTAAAAGACATGAGGCAACTTTTAGCTAAGTTAAAATTTTGTAGTTTTTTTCTCTCTGTAATATTGCTTGAGAAAGGTGTTATTTTTGTAGGGTAATAAAATAGACTAAAATCTGACATTGAGCTTGATTCCAAACTTAGAAAAATGAAGATTTCTCTTCTGCACATTTTTTTTCCAGAATAGTGTATTTCATCTTTGATTCTAACAGTATTTTTCCTTTAATTACAATTATGCAACATTGTTGGACAGTTAGAATTTTTAATAAATTAGAATAATTTTCTAAACCAGTGGTGGTGAACCTATAGTACATGGGCCACAGTGGGCTGTTATCACTGAAAGTTCTAAGAGATTTTTCCTTACTGTTCTAAACTAAGATACCAGTATTTCAGTGTCTGTATTAGCCTACCTTTTTGGATGGTAATTTTTAAAACATCCAGTTTCACAATTTTTAAATTCATATTCAAATTAGTGGACTTCCTGGCAGCCATGGTTGCCCACCCTTGTAATCCCAACACTCGGAAGGCTGGGCAGGAGGATCACCCCAAGTTCAAGGCCAGCCTGGGCTACATAGTGAGACCCTATCTCAACAAACAAAAATTTGTGGACATCCTACATTTGTCCTTAATATTTGAAAGTCATTTTACCAGATGAGGGAGACAAACCCTTGTAAGTGAACAAACATTAACAGGATGATGTTCTATTTTGTGATTTTATGCACTTTCCCCTGGTGGTCCTGCCACCTGCCTTGCAAGCGCAAGGACCAGAGTTTGATCCCCGGTACCAAAAAAAAAAAAAAAATCTTGCTTGTCTATGCACTTTCCCCCTCTATCAATCATGGTTTTTCTTTATGAGTTACAGAGATTGAGGCATTAGATCTTGGACCGGGTCAAGAGTCTCTTATCTAAAAATGTCCTAGTTTTGCTCATTCAGAGTCTAGGTTATTCCATTGACTGTTAAGCAGTTAAAACTAGTACTTCCTTCAGTAGACAGTAGAACTTCTGTACTAGCAAAGAGAAAAAACTCATAATGTTCAGGTTGTAGGGTGGGCAGATATGGAGCATAGAGAAATCCAGATCATCTGATGCCTGGTGTGAGCCCATGTGGCTTTGAGGCCCCCAAAGTGCTGCCTTTTTCTGAAGGACATGAGAGAGCTTGGACTCTGGAAATAGACACCTTTAGTGTCTGCTTTTTAAATCTTGGTAAACTACAGAAGTGTGTCTGTTTCCCTTATTGGTTTCTACCACAGACTGCACATCGAATTAAAGATAGCTGTAGACCATCTGTCCCTATGGTTTCATGGACCACAAGGCATACCACATGGAATGCTAAATATAGGAAGCATCCGTTTCTTTTTTCCCACTAGTTTCTCCCACTGGTCTGGAATTGTACACAGTTAGACCAAGGATGGTTCCATTATATTCCTTTTACTAAGTCATGGGGATTTTGGGAGGTCTGGTCTCTGGATTTCTAGACCTGTCTCAAATATGCCTTCTGCTCAACTTTTCTTTGAGGTTATGACATAGTGAATTTGTGAATCCATGCTTTTTTATTTTGATTTCAAGAACAATGCCATAGTATCCTAAAATGAAATAAACTGGAAGAATAGCAGCTTTATGTAATAGTATCTTTGTTGAGTAACATATAGATCAGTAGACATTTGGCTCTATACTTGAGGTTTCCTAGATCATTGAATCATTATCACATCAATATATGTCCAGTTCGTCCATTCCTCTGGGCTTGATAATCTACAAATATAGTTCCAACAAGCTTTCACATTTGCAGTACCTACCCTGCCCTAAGTGCTCACAGACTCATCCATGTAGCTGCATGTGTATTTTATGCACCTTCCCTTTGTTTCTACTTCATTTTCATACTAAACATTGTGATTATTTAAAAATGCAACTCTTATCGCACACTCTCATGTTGAAATATTGTGTGACTCATTGTGGACTTAAAATGTACTCTTATTGTATGCCAGGACTTTTATATATAACCATGCCTATTTATCATTTATAAGCACATTATGTTTCTCCTATGCAATAGTTTCTGGCCTTCTTGACCTACTTGGAGTTCCTTGAGACTTCTATAGTTTCATTTCATGCTTTTGCAGATCTGCAGTGAAATGCCCTTGTTACTTGTTAATACTAATCCAGTATTTGCATGTATTTCTGGCTGTGATAATGTAATCATTACATGTTTTCTATTAGAAGGCTTCTGGAAAGCTGGGACTCTTTATATAATTTTAGAAGCTGGAGCTCTATTTAAATGTGGCTGTATTTCCAGTCCAGTGGAGAGAAACATGATCTGCAGTAGGAAGAGTGTGTCATGGAAGCAAGATCTAGAGAGGGCTAATTCTGTGCTGGTGCCTGGTTCTTGTCTTCCTGTCCAAATCTCTCTGTCCTTTCTATTCCTTGACTGTTGAGCACTTCTGTGAGATATTCCAAGTATCTGGTAATAAACTCTCATGTTTGTTTCAGCTCTTTTAAGTTGTATTTGTTACTTATAGCCTGAGTATTCCTACTAACAAGAATCAAGCTTTTGGGGCCGGGGATTTAGCTCAGTGGTTTCACCGCCTGCTGCGCAAGTGCAAGGACCCGAGTTTGATCGCCGGAACCAAATAAATAAATAAATAAATAAATAAGAATCAAGCTGTCAAGTTGGGTTCTCTGGATTCTTTGGGTGTGAGGTATGTACTGAAACCAAGAGCTACGAATGAATAAGAAAAGTGAGACTGCACCCTGGGTTATTGCAAGCTAGAGGGAGCTCTGGAGCAAATTGCTCATCAGAATATCCCTTGTCAGACAAGACGCAGGCTGCGTTGAGACTGTCTGCTGACAGCTCTCTCTGCCACTGGGCAGTAAGGGGCTCCCTGAGGAGGAACCTGGATGCTGCACCTCTGGGGTTACACATTCTGTCTCTTCCTCTGTTTAAACTCTTCTTGTGTTACTGAGGAAGCTGCTCCTGTGGGATTCTGGTCGGCCTTCTGAGGAGAGACTAAAGTGAGTAGTTCCCACCCCTCATCCCCTCTCCTCCACTTTTCCACTGGAGTTGTGCTCGCTCTCCTGTTATCCAGTCTAAATTCTCACACTTCATCAGCACCTCTGTGGGCACCCATGGCAGATCTGGTAGTGTCTCAAGAGGGTCTGAGCTGTGATCACCAAGCCCTTCTCAGACCCAAGTTGCTATGTCTGCTCATCTTGTATCACATCTGGACAAGGAAGTCTGAACAAGTATCCAGGGGATCAACGGAGCTCCTCTTCTGTTCCTTCCCTGTGGTTTAACAACAGCTCTACCTCCTGAAGATCAGTGTCAAGTACCTCAAAAGACCCAAGTCCTCTTCTGGTCTGGTGGTCTCCACACAAGGTGCACAGAGTTTCCATGTTGTATCTGTGGCTTTCAATTTACAACACTTGCTCCGTCCCGCAACAAAAATGTGCTCCTCAAGGATCTGGACCTCTGGCCCTACAGAATCCACAGTTGTCACAAGCACAGTCCTCCAGAGGCTCTTTGGTAATGGCAATAGAGGAGGCTGTTCCTGCTTTGACTAGGGAATATCTACACCCATCTGTCATCTCCATTGTAATTGGGGAGCTCATTTCTGTGACAGGTTCTCCTACCCTCAGCCTGTCTGTGGGGAGGAACCACCATGGACTTCCTATTTTCCAGTGCCTCCCTGATGATGTGTGCACACCCCTCCTCTTGTGGCTCCTAATACTGTGGGGTCTTTACTCTCCTTCGGTCTCTGTCCCTCCCTCCCATCTTCCATAGACTCTTCAGCATTTCAGCTTATCCCAGTTGGCTGTCACCTTTGTCCCATTCTTAGGAGCACCTGTATTGAACTTGTACCATCTCTTGGGGGTTTCACTAGAAGGTTAAAGGCAGGCTGTCACAGAAGCATCCAACATCAAGCTTTTCTTTGTGCACTTTCCTGCTATAGTCCTCAGACCCTTCCTGAGTCCAGAGACATAGGCGCTCCTCTTGGTTTTGATGGCCCATTTGGGGCTAATTCTGTACCTCTTCTGGGATGTAGTCTGTTCACCCCCTGTTCAGGCATGGCACCTCAACAAATGCTGTGACTAGTGGTATGGGGGGAGGGGGTGTTGTCTTCCAGAGCAGAGGCTTCTGCATTGTATTTCAGGAAGGGCAGGAATGGGGGAGTTAGCTCTTATTAGGATGTGATGGAGACCTCTCTTCTCTTCTGTGGGCTCAGTGGGATCAGAAAAGTCTGGAGGGGCAAAAGTCCTCCCTTCTGAAGCCTCCATTGCATATACTGGATCAAGGCCCCTTTCCAGGTCAGCACCCTGACTCTCATGATAGGACTGTCCTGCTTGGTGTTTAGTCTTCTTTGAAGTTAACCTGCTGAGACATTTTTGCTGCTGCTGCAGGATATGAGAGCTTTGTATGGAACCAAAGTTCCTCTGACATTCACTCCTGAATTTCATTGCTTATGTTTGGGCCTCAATTTTTTTAAAGCTTTTTGTAGAGCCTCAGTGGTCTTTAGCAACAGTCACCCAATCCTGTTATTTTTATATTCTCTTTCCTTCCTGAAGTTCAAATACCTGACACATAACACCATGTGCTGCATTCTTTTTTGGGGGACCAACCCCCTCGTGCCTAGGGCTATCTGTGCTCCACCCATACAGCATGGATTTGTAGTGGCAGCTGGACAATGTGTGACCAGCTCTAAGACCCACCCTCAGGCCTTGCAATGTTGGAATGCTTCTCTTCTGGTACCAACTGAAATTATTTGGAACTTCTGGAAGCAGACTCTGAGATACAATGGAGTATAAGGCATTCATTGAGGAGCAGTATCTGTGAAAGGACAGAAGGAAGTAGGATTGAGCAGAAATAAAGGCTGGATTGCAATGCATATCTTACGAACCTCTCCTGGCCCTCAAGTGTACTTCCTGAGCCAGGATTCAGGACAGCAGAGATGTGCCTTTGTGTCCGCCCTTGTTCAGCCACTGAAGGCACCCTGGGGAGGTTAATTTGAATAGAGCTCTCTCCAGCTGAGGCAGTCGGCAGCACACTACCTGAAATTTCATGCTCTAGAATGAAACCATCCCTTACAGTAGCAAATAGTCTTTCACTGACCAAGTCAGTGTTTTTTAAAAGAGTAACTTGTAAATGCTGCATGGTGGGCATTCAAGTGGAAAGACCAGTGGACTAACGACTTCATAGAGCAGTTCAGGTTGTGGGTAAAGAAGCTCAACATGGGAATAAGGGCAGCAATGTATGGCACAGAATAATCGCATAAGCTTTTAAACATGTAAATGTCTCCTCTTAAATTTCTTAATCTGATTTGGATGCAGGAAGGTATATCTCCCCCGAAGCACCATGTCTTTAAAATATACTTTTCTGTGCAAAGTTCCTAAGACTTGAAGTCAAGGGGACAGTGAAAGCATGCCTGGACCAGACCATCCAAAAAATAATGGCCAATGGACACTGGCAACTGGGCAAATTATTGTTATCTGTAGAATCAGCTTTCCTGCCCCTATGCTGAGTCAGCTGTTCCTGGGAAGCCAGTGATGTCCTTGCTGTGTAGTTGAATCCATGAAATTCATACCTGTGTGACCTTTTATGGAGTGATTCATCCATCCAGCTGCCATTGGAGCTCCCAAGCAGCTCTGTTACCGAGTATCTCCTCCTCAGAGGAATTTTTGCCAGATACTGATTTGGAAAAGCACTTGCCCCTTATGGACCTTCTGAGTAATTCTATTGGACCCTTATACTCCTCTAGACCCTTCCCTGTTAGTATCAATTAATTCTTATCCTCTCTGTTAGTACCTTTTACTAAGTTGTAAACTTTATCTCCCACAATCCTAAACCAGATATTCTTTTGAGTTTAGCAAACCACCCCACTTCCCTGGAACAACTGGGATGTGACAGGGCATTCATCTCTCATCTCTCCCTCTCAGTGCTGGGGATTGAACCCAAGGCCTTGCATAGTGAAAGGGACCTTACAGAAATGGGAAGATGGTTCAGGTTAATCATAAGTTGTCATTGTAAGAAGAAGCCAAAGGTAATTTTACTACAGAATACCATGATCCATTGTGAGAAACTCTCAATTAGCCATTGCTGGTTCTGGGGGTGGAGAGGGAAGCCAGGAGCCACAACAGTGAGGATGGCCCCCAAAGCCTGAAAAGGCAGGAGACATGTATCTACCTGGAGCCTCCAGAAGGAACTGGCCCTGCTGGTGTTCCACAGCTTTACGATAAGTAAAATGCATGGTTTTTGAGCTACTGTGTGGTGATGAGGTACAGCAGTGGTAATAAAGTGCATACCAGTCACAAGGCTACCAGGGCCCATGTGTCTGGCGAGTTGTGGGGCCACTCACTTTCCCAGCTGTGTCACCCACACTTTCCCTGGCATCTCAGTCCAACACAATCCAAGGCAAAACTTATCTGATTAGGCAGTTTCTGTGGAACGTTTTTTTCCTACTGGTGGATTCCACTCAGGGAAAACATGTATTCCTATGGGTTCCAAGCATGCCTAAAGGAGCAGTGTCCTTATATCCCCAGAACACAGAAAGAACAAGTTTTCCCAACACCACCCATGATGACAACAATAACAATAACAAAAAGACAAGCAGGACACAGGCTGTGTGAGAAGCTGTAAGGGAGGTGAAGTCATCTTTCTTCCACCTTTAGATTCTAAACTAGAAGTCTTTTAGCAGAAGCCCAAATGAGGAAAAGAAGCACACACATGTTTACTTGTGTCTGCCTCTGTGTGTGTGGAAACAGCAGGGCAGTGAGTAGGACTCTATCACAGATGAAGAGGAACAGGACTTTGGGCCAAACACCATGTTCTTGAGGCCAGGAGGTGGTTGTGGGAGGGTGCACTGACTATGCAGCAGATCCAGCTCCCTTGCTGGTGGCATTGTCCCATCCTAGTGCCTGGAAAACTGAAGACCTGGCCTTTGCTGTGCCACCTTTGAACTTCCATGATTCCTTCACAATTTATCCGTATTCTGAATAGAACCTCAATGTCATGCTGTTGATTAATAACTGGGGTTCCTGTCAGTTTCTCTCAGTGTTTGGTTTTTGTTGGGTCTTGCTATGTGGCTCAGGCTAGTTCAGAACTCCTGGGCCCTGGCTATCTTCCTGCCTCAGGCTCCTGAATAACTGGGGCCACAGGTGTGGTTCATTCTGCATAGAACGGGCCTTGGTCAGCCATGACCCATGACAATCCAGGAAGCCACTATTTTCTATGGCCCAGAGTTTCCACATTTAAAAATATTGTAAAAGTCCAAAGAATTAATATTTAATGATACGTGATAATTATATAAAATGAGTTTTTAGTGTCTAGAAAAAAGGTTTACTTGTGACATAACCAAGCACTTTCATCTCTTGTGTTGTTTTTGGTTGCTACTGTGATACAAGTACACGATCCAGCAGTTGTAACAGACTGTACAACATGAAGAGTCAGAAATATCTACTGTCTGGGCCTTTACCACAAAGTTTGTCACAGGCCGGG